GTTTCAGTCCTGCGTATGCTGCTCGAGCCTTGGAAATGTGGGCGGTTATCTCCTTTACTGCACTACCGTCATTGGTTACGCAGCTATCAAAGTAGGAAAAGTAATCCACCACAACTAAATCCTGGTCATTTAGTATCAGAGTGGGAGTAGACGAAACCTAGTCCTGCAGCATCACTTTACACTTTGAAGGTGCGAAATACACACCGAATCTGGCAAATGCACTTGTTACTCTATCAAGTGTGCTTCGCTCTGCTGAACAAGCTGTACTCACTGCCTTCTCGTGACGGAGGTATTTACCCACCAAAGTAAGGGGACGAAAAAGGCGACATCCGGGGCTACAACCGGGTTGATGGACCACTGAAAGTTCACCTAGGGGAGTTGCCCAAAAACCCTGATTCTAAACCAACCACGAGGAAGCGTACGGACTACACCCACACCGTTTCGGTTGTGGCAGTGGTCACCGACTCGATTGAGCATCAAGGTATATTGAGCACCTTGGACGTTTGACCCCGTCCGAAGGTCGAATGATCCGATGAACTGGACACCGGCTCCCAATGGACTGCGGTTTTCACACATCGCTCCGCTGCCTTGCGGATCAGGCTTTGGCTAGCTCAAGGCTCCGGTTGTGAATTCCTAAAAAAAATTCACCTGCTTTGGCCTGGGCAACCTGGCAGTATTCAGCCCACAAGCCAATCACGGAACGCTTTTCTTTTTTATAAAGATTATTGTACCATGATTTGCCTGGCACACAGTCTGTCCTCAGACAAGTGTAAAATATAATAATAATACAGTGCTTTCAAAGATTGCCAGTTGTAGTGTGATGTATTAGAACATTATATTGACTCTCAATAACCATAAAAGTCTCTCATCTCCAGTTTCTACTTTTTGCTACCTTCACAGAGTTCTTTAATCAGGGGATCGGTTGTATGTTTGGTTTCATTATTATTATGGGGCAAATTTATGGTCGTTCGAGTATTCACCAAAGCTTTTTGTTTGGATGTTTTCCCCTCAATACCAGGTCAAGCCTCTGAATGACTTGATCCGTTCCGTTCCTCATCCGTTGGGTCCGCGAGCCGAATTACAACAAATCGCCAAACTATTCCACCTGTCAGTGAATTTCACCCGTTTGCCTAAACCAACAACACATCCGCACTCCCCGGGGTACACCCAGCCAGTTGTTTTGCACCGGGTTGCTTTGCATTTTGCTGGTCGCCAATACGTGAGTGAAAGTACCGCACGGTCCACGGCGGAACAGGAGGCAGCCTGTGCTGCACTAAAAGTGAGTAACTCCGGATCGTTTTAATTCTGGCCAAACTCCCTTTTGGTTGTTCTTCTTGTGTCCGTCCTGACGACGCATCTTTTAGATGACCGTTCACATTGCCCAATTAAAATGAACCATGGAATTTTATTTTTGACACAAGTTGTCTTTCGGTAGTTTCTCCTGCTGCAGATGGATTTCTGTCGTTTGTGGCTTGTCGATTTGTGCGTATCCGTAGTGCTCTAAGCGCCTTTAATTGTCAGGTATGAACCCACCTAAATTAGGGAATGAACTGATTGTTATTCGTCACGGCCGATGCCCCGTCCATCCTTTCACGGTTTTTGGTAATTTGCTACTGAACGCCTCGAGGCTTGGATTGCTGGTGTTCGTCAATAGACAGTCGGTTCTCATCACTACGTGGTTTTGACTCCACTGTTTTGTTGCACTTCATTTCGTGATAAAATATACACCGATTTACAATCCTGTGACATTCATGTATGCACTCCACCGTGTGTGGTTTGGAAATGGACCATGGCTCAGTTCAGTTCTAGTTATGCCCGCTGTTCTATGTTAGGCTCAAAATTTGTGTGCAGTACAAATATATATGGTGTATAAGAAGCAGATCTTTACGGGTCGGGGAGCAGAAGGCATAACACAACGAATATCTAACTTCAACACCGAATGGATAGTGCATGTGTATGCACACAGCTCTCTGAGGATTCTAACCCTATGAAAACCGGTAACAGAAACACGGCTACTCCAGGTACAAATAGTGAGCGATGTGGTCAACAGCCGCTGAGTGTGCGCAACAAATAACCAAACTCAACCTACTCATTCGATTTTTTTATGAAAGCAGTTTCGATCAATCACGACTGATTACTTCGTTGTTACCAACTCCCTCGATCTAGCATACCTACGACATTCGATGTAAACATCCACAATTCAAAACTTACATTTAATCATTGGACGCTAACTCCTGGCCTCACTACCGTAACTGACCCCGTAATTGTAAAATTTACGCAACCTTTCAATTTTAATGAATATTCACGTCAAAGGCAAAAATGTTACAGTCTGATCTAGGCCACCCAAGCGTTGAGTGCTCGTGTGGCCACCTCTTTTACTGTCTTAGTCCTTATGAATGCAACTATCTGAGCGATTAGTGATTGTCGAGCTTCAGAGCACAGTTATTCAAAGTTTAATCTTGTATCATCACTTTGCACCGAGGCGCGAAACAGCTCTTGTTAGCCAGTGAAATGTGCTGTGTGCCCACTTAAAACATTCGGACAGATCGGTAATGTCGTCAGTGTATACTCCAAATCACACGACTGCTGTTCAGGTTTACATTTTGAACACCACTCATCTTGTTCAACAGTATTTTGTTTAGAACCGGAAACGGGTACTGTTGATGACAGTCGTACTGCTAGTTCTGACCGGGCCACTCGGCTTACTGCACACCTTGACTTGGCCGGAAGTATGTCTGTAAAGGGTGTATATAATTGATCCCCACCGATTGCTTGAACCATTTTCGTTCATGTTGACCACCTATGTTAAACACACCGATACATGAAATGGTGGACGGGCGTTCTCGAACTAAAAATTTGCGTGATTGCCTGATCTACGCTATTAGCGCTCCTTCCCCCTTGGCTGCCGATTGCCAGTAGCTGTGCAAAATATTTTCTCGGATGGGGCCTTTTGTTTATCCGGGTTGTTGCATTTTCGAGATCAAAGGACAGCGACAGTAGCTGGAGTCAAGTCAGCTAAATACCTCATTCACTCCCGATGGCCGGTAGTCAGTTGTCATTGCGTTAAAACTAAAAAAAAATGGGAAAGAATTGTCGTAAACAGTCGAAAACAGTTACATCAAGTCAATGCGGGGTTGGCTTAGAGTTGGAACGATGTTCATTCACGATTGTGAATGTGTCGGTCCGGGCCAAATACGATAGAACATCTAGAAGTGGTGGTACACGTGAGCACAAGTTTACAACGAAATTACTTGAATAAAATGGAAAAGCATTTAAATAAATCCCAGTGTATCGTGTGTGTGTGTGTGTGCTGAGTCATCTAATATTGTTATGGAATCGGTGATGTTAGGCAGTAATGGATTGGACGAGATATTCGCGTTGAAATGTTTGAGGGATTGGGAGATCGATTTCAAAGCTGTTATGGTAAGACCAGAATAATAGCATCGAGAGTCACGTGGACCAATAATTTTGACTTGTTCGTATTGCAAACACTCAAGTTAGCTTTACTTTTTCAGTACACACGTTTTAGTGTGATGAACAGCAAACTGGCTAAATTCCATAGTCACGAGGACCTACTGTTCAGTGATGGGAACCAGTGACCTAAGCTCCGGGACTTGGAGTGGCGGACCACATAAGGCCCCGATAGGTTAGGCATGGTATTGAACCGGACGACAGCAAAGCTGTCTACCACCAAAGTTGGTTGCCGGTGGCGGGGCTCGAACCACGGACCATAGGGTTCAAAGCACACCTGTGACAGTGATTTGTTTCGTCCGTCGCAGTTTGTAGCGTTCGGGTAAATTTTCATTACAAATTTCATGTAATAAGTGCCCTTTAATATTTTTATGAAAATTTTCATTAGTCACTCGGATTATGGCACCAACAACTTCATTTTTATACTGCTAAGTAACTATCTGCTGCTTGAGGATAAATCATCTTTGTAGATGACTCCCCTGTGTANTAGGCATGGTATTGAACCGGACGACAGCAAAGCTGTCTACCACCAAAGTTGGTTGCCGGTGGCGGGGCTCGAACCACGGACCATAGGGTCCAAAGCACGCCGGTGACAGCTACCTAATCACTGCGTCACCAACATCCATGTAAACAGAATGAATGTAATTCGATTGGGGCATAATAATGCTAGGAATGTAACCGAGAAAATCGGTGTTTTGAATATGTTAATCGGGAGATGACCAGCTTCCAATCATCTTCCCCTTAAGATTCCCCTCCAAAACGTGCCTAGGGCTTATGATTGTCGATTTATCGTTCTACTGTATTGTGACCTTATTGTTGCATAATCATTGTTTTGCATACAGTTGCATCAATACTCACAAGTGTCTAATTTTTATTCTCGGAACTAATGATCGATCTTTAGGCTTTGCGCCGAGCGCTGCTATTTGTCACGGGGAAGTCAGTGGACGAAAGTCACACCGAATATCAGAATCCGATTTTTCGACTTGACAGTGCTGTGTGGCGACTTCGTGTAATTGGACACTTACATGGCGAGAGACCGATTTTTGTGGTAAGTATCGGATGTTTTTATCTTTTCAATATAATCCAAAAAAGTATCGATAAAAATTCATGCTTTGACACTTGAGAATTAAAGTCACTGAGTAACACCGTCTTCCACGGTGTTTACTACTCTTCCCTATGCTCTGTCATATGTTTGATACTCTGGGTTTTCAAATATCGCTGAACACGAGGGATTTTTTCCGGTCGATAGGTTTTAATATTGTTCAAAATTCTTATATCCTTAGTCACCGTTCTTATCTGGAGGAGGTACTTTTCGGTCTGAATCAGTTGATGTTTTTCTTCAACACTGAAAGATATATGCTCCAATCTACGAAGTCCATGGTGGTCGACCATTTGCTTCACTGGGCGACCGCGATTACTTAAAACTCGGCGCTTAGCCTCAGCATTTCTTATTCCAGTTCGTGCGTTGCAACGTACGCAGCGGTGTTCAAGCACCGACAGTCTATCTTCATCCTGTTTTATTAGTGGCCAAGTTTCTGCGCTTTATAACAAAACTGCTGCTACCCGACTCTTTAAACACACACACTGGTGTACACAAATGAATCTTGGGT